GTAAGAGAAATGGCAATTCAATTTCACAGATGGGCTGAAATTACATAGACTGAATATTAATCTCAAACCACATCTTAATACAATTTTCTATAACTAATAACTGACCATCCCTCACATCAGAGGTACCAGCTCCGAGGTCACAGAGTACAGGCTATAGAAGGCAGCCCCGACAGACAGCAATGCCACCATGGGAAAGATAGGAAGCATGGAGAGCACGCAGGTCACTAATCTGCCTGGACACTTCACTCTAGTTCATGTTTCTGAGATTACTTGCTAGCATAAAAAAAATTAGGCCACAATTTTAAGTATGCTATTTTGTACAAATATCCAAAGATTTGAATCATGTTGAAAGATGCATGAGCACATGTAAAATAACATTACAGCTAGGTGATGTGGAACATGTCTGTAATATCAGTACTTGGGAGGCTGAGGTAGGAAGATCATGAATTTGAGGCCAGCTTGGACTAGATGAAGCAAGGCCCTGCTTCAAAACTAATGAGCCAAATCAGTAACCTGACTCCACTATCCACTCGGGCTAGCAGGAAGGCTTACCTGATGTCTTTAGGGAGTTCTGGCAACTGCATTTTCTTCATCATGGCATAGTGTGAAATGGCCAGGACAGCCATCCCCAGGCACTCATTCTCAATGTCATGTCCATCCTGCTCTGTCTTGGGGTCCCGAATGGGAGCCAGGCATTTGATCAAATCATACTGTCCCTTAGGGGCAGAGAAGAGAAAAAAATGAGCCACCCATGTTGACCTGGAGAGGATCAAGATGGCCAAAATGTCACACCGCAAGGAAAGGAATCAGAGTGTCTCTGATATCAAGGCTGTGTCCACTGAAATGGGGCACAAAGCAGTTAAGAGTATGTTCTCCCTAGATTACATCATTCATTCACTCATTCATTCATTCATTCAGCGAGGATTTAGTGAGTGCTTGTCAAGGTGCCGGTGAAGACCACGAATTCACAAAGCCCTATCATGGGGCTTTCTATGTAAACAATGCCTAGACATAGGCATTAGGTCTGAACTGAATCAGACCAAGACAAATGACACTGGGCTGACAGCATTAACTTCATAAACATGTACTAGCCAGCCTAGTATAGGGACTGTGTGTATGGAGCTGGGCTTGCGGAAAGGGGAAGGAGTCACACTCCACAGTACATCATTACCACAGACCATCAGTTTGCTCCACACGTGTTATTTGCATTTTCAGGACAGAAAAGTGACAACATAATACACTATCTCACAGATGGGGGGGAAAGTGTAGCCTTCCACAAACCAATGGGGACTTTAAAAACAAGACTAAAAACCAGTACCCACAACTAGCCTTGTTCAGTGCAATGGCAAGCCAGGACAGCTCCCATTTACTAACTCCTAACCTCCCTGCTAGACGTGTGAGGCACTACTTTACTACCTTAGTCCTCACAACAGCCCTGTTAGAGTGCTGAGAGGGGAGAAATGGAATCATGAGCAGGACATTCTCCTAGGCACTAGAGATTTAGGAGTGGAGAAGCTATATTTCTGACCTCATGGAGGGACCATTCTGAAAAAGAAAAAGAGGAGTCACTAATATTAGGTGCTTACAAAAAAGTAAATTCAAACAGAAGAGTGGCATGGGAACTGGGGGCTGAGAGAAAGCCTGATCCTGACTCCAGGGCACCTTCCCATAACACTGCAACAGCTCTACCAACTCTCTGCTAGGTACTCCCACGCCCAGGAAGGTGAACATTCCAGCTACTCTGTCTGGGTGAGATGGGTTTGGAAGAGAGGTTTCTACTGAGACACTTTCATGTTTCATGTTTTGTTTTATTTTGTTTTGGGGGGTATGGGTCCAATACAATAGGACTTTTTTCTTTCAGGTAAAGAAAGGTCACTGGCCAGTACCACAATGTTTTGAGGAATAACAAGGATCTATGCTAACAATGCTTGAAGAGCAGAAAAAATCTGAACCTGAGATCTTGGGAAGAGAACTGAGAGCCTGTTACTGTCTGTGAACATTTTACACAACTAACTCAACAAACCCTATGCTGAGATGTTGATTTTCCTGAAGGTGAGATTCTAAAGCAAGGATGACACCATCTTTAAGCAGGGCAGTCTTCCTCTCTTCATGAGTTCTTCCTAGTCAATCCTCTCCATAGTCTATCACTAAAGTCTGTTCCTTTAAGGCAGATTCTCACTGAGTAGCTCAGGCTAACCTCAGACTCACATGTGAGTCTTTAAAGTGCTGGAGTTACAGGTGTCAGATCCCATACCTGGCTCCCATGATTTCTTATGCAGTATCTATGTATCATTTACAAATTCAGTGTTTCTTGTCTAGCTTGAGTATACATCATCCAAGTACCCAGTGTCTTGGCAAATATAACTGCATGAAGCAAACAAGACAGATATACCCAGTAAATAATGTTACATAAATGAATTGATATAAGGCCAGCAAAGTGACAGAACACAGGGGAAAGAAAAGTGCTTGGCCGGGAAAATCCAAAGCTGGGAGCCAGCTCCTTGGCTAACATACTACCTTCCCCAGTCACCTGCCTTTCCCAATCACCTGGGCAAGAATATCATAGAACAGGCCATAAAGTGCCACTAAGTACAGCTGCACAGGGAATCTGAGCCCCACCTGGCCTCACTCTCCCCACAAACTGCAGGCCTCCTGGCTCAAGCTTCCTACCTGTGCAAACAAATACTCCAGTGAACTGGCATCAAGGAGTGGGGTCGCTTCTGGAACCTTTTTCTTCTCATATCCATTTTTTTGCTTCTTTGGAGAATGTCGCCATACAGACTGTTCATTGTCATTGGTTCCATGCCAGTTTGTAAAATAGAATCTAAAAGATAGTAAGAACAATGTCAACTGTGGCAGGAGAGTCCCTGGACTGCTGGCCTGAGAGAGGCGTCTACCCAGGGTGGCCCACACTGAAGCTGAACTGAGGAACTTGAAATGTAAACAGCCTTGCTTGCATCTAGAACCCTCATCACCCTGAGCCAAAACCATTCTTACTCTTCCAAGTGCACTGCCACAGTGCACTTCCAACACCTCCTCTGGGTCAGGAGGAGAATGTTCTGGTAATCACAGGACAGCTCTTCTTACACCTGCTAATCCTGATACACCTCCCTAGGTAAACACACTTGATGGCTACAACTAGCTGCTACCCCACAGCTCTAGTCTTGCTTGGCTGTCCTTCCTCAACCTAAGACCTTTCCATTCCTGGTCGTACCATTTCTGAAATCAAGTTCTGTCCTATCTACAATCGAACTAACATGGTAGTCTTTCTTAGGTCCCAGATGGCTGTTATTAAATTGGGGATGTCTTTTACAATGAGCAAGGCTTCAAAAGAGAAATACAAAAACAGCAGCTGTGGTAACAGGACGGAAGTGAGCAGCACTTTGTACCTCTATACCACCTAATCTTCAGAACAATACCCCTAGGGAGACTTCATTGCTTCCTTGTGCAGAGGAGGAAAACTGAAGTTATTGGAGCAAAGTGACCTAACACTCCAAGCCTGACTCACTACCACTTTGGCCTGTCACCTGTTGGGGAAACACTTCTGAGCTGTGGGAGAGTGGCTGAGCTACTCTTGCCCAGCTGTCTCCAGGCTACAAACTCAGCTGTTTAGGGCTCTCTCAAATAGGCCAATAAGTTTATAGAAAACCATGTTACTGAGAAGCAAAAACTCCCACCCTAGAGAGCTCCTCTTAGAGTCAGACCTAAAAGGGGGGGTGCAGAACAGGATACAGAGGGCTCTCAGGCGTAGTCTCTGCCCTCTGGGAGTTCCCTGCCCCACAATAATACAAAACAACAGGAAGTGGAACACATGTCATAAGCAGAACTACACTGCAGCTTTCATAGTCCCCACACACTTCTCTTTCCTCTATAAATATCTGCTAAGAGCTACAGTTTACAACTCAGTTGTTTGTGATTCAATAAAATGCAAACATTTCATGGACCCCTGATGATACTATGAGCAGTTAATCCCATGTTTAATAGGTAACTTGCCCAGAATAAAAAGTTATCCTGGAATGCACACAACCTGCAGGCTACAGGTTAAGCATTCCTGGCTCTAGAACACAGACTACCAGCAGGTACATGGAGGAGACAAGATGGTTCTGAAAGAACAAGGCCAAGAAACAAGCAGGTACATCTAGAAACAGTGTGGACAAAGTGAGAGCTCCCTGGCAGCAGAGGCCACAACTGTCTTGCTCAGTAGCAAGTCCCCAGAACCTATACTATAGCAGGTGCTATATATGTGCTTGACAGATAAACAGCAGATGATGAACAAACTCAAGGAATAGAAATCAACATGGAAAGGATTGACACATTACTTTAAAGGTAAACATCAGTATTTTGTAGCTTTTGGTGGTTGTGCACAGCTCATTATCTCTGTAGATCATGAAAGGAACTGGAAGACTGAGCTTTAGTGTTGCATACAGAAAAAAACCACAATCTGCACAAACTACACCAGGTCACTAAAGCAGATGAGAGATTATCCCCTTGGTTTCTATATATGTTCTAGGACACCAGATTTTTGTTACAGTAAGAGCACAGAAGGACCCGCCAATGCAGTGGTGATTGCTTCTGTGGGCCCAGGCCTCACAGTACTCTTCACAGGAGGGACAGGGCACAGCAGAGAGGAGTCAGTGAGGCACCACACTTCCATAAGCACCAAGTAAGGAGTGAATCACCTGGCCTGCTACAAGGTGCAACCCAGGCTCCAACTAAGGAGCATATGGGCCAGGTAAATTCTGCCCAGTGGTAGATAAAATCATGACAGAACCACAAGCATTATGTTCAACATGGAAGATTCCCTGCAAGCTTCCTGAGAGGAGCACTGAGGACAGATACTCTGTGAACCAATCCAACCCTTCATCTAGGACCAAACATGTTTAAATTGGTAAGCAAGGTACGCTCACAATTCCAGTATTTGGAAGGCTTCTGCAGGAAGACTGCAAATTCAAGGCTAGCCTAGGCAATTTGGCAAGATACCACTGGGGAAAAATACAGTGGTGCTCAATTTATCAGCACAAATACTAAAACTGGAACAATACAGAGAATATTAGCATAGACCTAGTGCAGGCATGGCATGCAAATCTGTGGAGTGTTCCATACTTAAAAATAAAAGATGATTACCAATATTAACAACTTTCTAATTACTAATAAGACTAGAAACAAGAAGATGTCACTATGCCTGGTTTTTTATGTATGTGCTGGGTGGGGGACAAACTCAGGCCCTCACAAGCATTTTATTGACTGGGCCAACTCCAATATAACTACAAAATTCCCAAAATTATTAATTTACTGTAAAATAAAAAAAATTACCAAGCAACTTACTGAACTTATCATACATAAATCCTGATAATACAGTAACAGTTAAAACAGGGTGGGGAATAAGTGCAGTGTTCTTATAGCCCATGCTCCTCTTCAGAATGATTAGCCAGATACACCTTGAAAGTTCCTTGCCAGATGGTGGTGGCACAACCTTTAATCCCAGCACTTGGGAGGCAGAGGCAGGAAGACCTCTGAGTTCAAGGCCAGCCTAGACTACAAAGTGAGTTCCAGGACAGTCAGAGCTACACAGAGAAACCCTGTCTCAAGAAAAAAAAAAGTTCCTAAGAAACAATACTAGAGATGACTACACATTCTAAGTTTACTTTTAAACACCACCTAATGAAAGTTTAAGTATCTACAGAATTTTATTGAAGTCAATGATTTTCACTTATAAGGGTTTTTTGAAAACAAAGAATACAAACGCCTTATATTAACACATATCATAAATAACTAACAAATCATTAAGTAAAAACAGAAAACCACAATTAAAGCGCAAGAATATTTCCTAAAATAGACCCAGGATGCCACTTAAACAGTCGCCAGCACTTGTTTCTTGCTGCATCTTCTTCAGTGGTTAGATCACCAGTGGTCAAGCTCTTTGTAGACTGTTCTAATGCAAATGTTTGAATTTAGGGTGGTATCTTTTTTCCAACTTCAAAGAGACTGTGGTAACAAGGCAACATCCTGTTGAAGCACACTGGCAGGTATAACAGAACTGAAGCCTCTATGCACTTCCTGGCAGCTAACACAAAGGGGACAGGTAAATGCAACCTGTCTTCCCAATGGAAAAATGGGAGAGTATAGTCAGGTAAGCTCAGGTTTTTTGAAAATGCCACATATTGCCATACTGGACTCTGACCTAAGTCTGGATGCCTACCAGGAAAGAATCAGAACTGAAGAACATGTTCCTGTCTAGACCTCCAGCTAAAGGTCTATCTCTAGTTTTGATCACAGAACCAGACTCCTGGCTGTGGGAAGTAAGATCAGAGTGAGAAAAACAAATCCAAATACAGTGAGAAGGCTCAGCTGGAAGGACTAAAGAGTACCCTAAATCAGAGGTAAGAGGTACAGAGCTCTCCCACAAGGTGAGAGAACTTAGGTGAGCACCAGAAGAAGAGAATTCAGCCTCCCAGACTGGAATGGTACCTCACAACCAAAATGCAAAGGAGGTAGCAGCTGGGGTATTATAGAGGTTCCTAAGATTCTAGAAGGTGCTCCCAGCATGGCTTGATATTTTCTTAGCATCTGAGCTAATCTACTGATTTAATCAGATGTATACAAATCAAGATCCTTTTCAAAAATGGCCCAGGCTAACCACGGTTAACTTGTGCTTCACTGCTATCTAAAACACTTTCGATACACAATGGCTCCTGGATACACTGACAAAGGAAACAGTCTGCACTAACAAAGGCACCAATGGCCTATATGACTTTGGGACATTTAACAAAATTCGTGGCATGGGAAAAAGTAAAATGAAATTCATCAGAACAAAAAGCATAAAACCAATGAGAGTCAAGAGTCCTCAAGAGGACCATAGCATCGCTCCCGGAGAGTAACACTGGGAATTTATTTCTGTCACCTCCTCAGGAGGTATACAGAATATTTCTTAGCCACAACCTTTAGTAGGAAGTATATTTTATAACTTTTCTTAGTGTGTGTATATATTACATACCTCATAAGTTTTAAAATTCAATGCGCTTAAGAATATATCTATTTCTTATTTCTTTCCCTCTATTTTTTTCAAGTTCTGGTTATAACCCACTATATTTTTTTATTTATTTTTATTATTTATTTTATTAAAGATTTCTGCCTCCTCCCCACCACCACCTCCCATTTCCCTCCCCCTCTCCCGATCAAGTCCTCCTCTCTCATCAGCTCGAAGAGCAATCAGGGTTCCCTGACGTGTGGAAGTCCAAGAACCACCCACCTCCATCCAGGTCTAGTAAGGTGAGCATCCAAACTGCCTAGGCTCCCCCAAAGCCAGTACATGCCGTAGGATCAAAAACCCATAACCCACTATATTAAACTTATAACCATGATTCACCACGTGAAACACTTTCCTAGAGGGCTTGGATTCTATACAGACACTTTAGACAATGTGGCAGAGGTGATCAAATTCACCTTAAATCACTCCAACATGGAAGATGTCCCTCTCATACCAAGCAAATACAAAAGTTACAAACTATAACGGCTAAGTGACTCAGGGCTTCTGGCCAAACACTAGCCTAGGCACCCACTGGCACCAGCTCTGTGTACTGTACCTCATGCGGTAATGAAGCCGGAGAGACATCTTGTCATCCACAGTGATGTTGCGGTTCGGAGCATACCAGAGCTTGGCGCTCTCGTCATACAGGGCAAACAGGTTGTGACAGAGAGGAGAAATGTCTGGGGAGAAAGCACACCAGAAAGATGTAGGCACATACATTGGTCACCTTTCTCCAGAGACCAGCATATGCAAAGATCAAGGAATTCTCTCATCCAGAAACAATCTAGGCCACCTCATCCTCTCAGGGCAGATGCAACTCTCAACTATGTCCACTTAGGGATATTTCATCATACTAATCAAGAACCACAGTTCCTCAGGAGCATGTACTGTGGCCACTCGCCAACCAAATTAAAGCAATTTAAAAATAAAATTTGGTGACATTTCTCATTAAAAGGGTCTTACCAAATTCTGATTAAAATAAATAAAAGGGGCCATCTCAGAGTTACACAGATTCTACCTAATGTGCACGTTTTTAAATCACAGCAAGGAAGAAACATCTGAGAAATGCAGGAATCCGTCAATCTGCGTCCTATAATCTGTTTTCACATCATATACACAAATAAGTTCCTGGCTACCATACAAACCACATATTAGGATAAACAAAGTGATCTTGTCAGTGATTAAAATGTATTATCATTAATAATTTAATATACTTAAGTACTTTTTACAGTATCATAAATGTATTTATTAGCATTAACTAGCAAGAAGATCCCTTAAAAAGCTGGCAAAAATAGTGCTGTGCCTTCCCACTCCACTACTTGCTCTTTTAAAAACAGCCAGCACGGTGAGAAAGTCAGATTAGGAAGTGCCTTGTTTCTGAACACATGTATCCAAACAGAAGAATGAAGGAATATGAGTGCCAATGCCCAGTTGCCACTGTTATCTTCAATTCTAGCCAGATCTCAAGTTAAGAAATGCTAAAGTTAAATTAACATCTCCACTCCTGCCCTCATAAAAAGAGTGCTTATCGTGAAACAACAGTGGCATTACCAAGGCCTTCCTGACCCTCACAACAGCCTCTTTCCAGTGTGGACCCTGGGTTGAGAAGTTACAGGCTCTTGGGCATCTCAAAGTCCTCTTCCATCACTTAAAAAAAAAGGTGTGGACTAGAAAGATAGCTCAGCAAGTAAAGTCACTTGCCACCAAGCCAGATGACCTTAGTTCAATCCCTGGAACCCACATGGTTGAAGGAGAGAACCAACTCTTGCAAGTTATATTCTGATCTCCACATGTGAGCTCATGTGAATGTGCGCACACACACACACACACACACACACACACACACAAATGCAAAAAAAAAAAAAAAAGAAAAAAGAAACAAAGAGGAAAGTCTTTCCTTTAGTTACTTCCAAGCACATCTTCCTTTGGAAACAAGAGCCAACATATTCTTTCCCATCGCATAAGCCTTTCCCCTTTTGTTGGTGTTTTGGTGTATAAAGCCTTTTAGAAATATATGTACTGGGAAGTAAATGGGGCCTCCAGACAAGCTGCATTACTAACAAGATCTTAAACTAGCTACAACATCCCCACAATGTTGCTCTCAAAGCAAAGGGCACAGGTATGGAATGGACCAGGCTCTACAATATCACTGCAAGTTACTTCATCACCATAAATAGAGTTACTACAATCCTTTCTAAGCAGCTTTATTGGAATACAATTTACAACTATAAAATCTACCTGTTTTAAGTGCTTATTCCAGTGAGTGTCAGTAAATTAAGTGGGTGAGATATGTGGCTGTTTCTATAGTTTTATGGTCTCACTTTCCATCTAAAATTAGGTAGGCAAACACTATGTATCTCCATGTTAGAAAGATTATGAATGGAGAATATTTTGTTAGGTGTTCTTCTTTCTTACCCTAGCAAGGTAACAGGTTAGCTCTAAGTAAAACAAAATTTATTAAGTTTCACGTTAGTATACAAGGGCCTCACCATGGCATTTTCATATATATGTATTTTTGTAAATAAATCTTACTTTTATAAAGAGATGAACAGCCTTACTATCCTTTTCACAATCTAGTATGTCCAAGCCACAGGGCAACCCTAAGATTCTCAGTTCAACAGCACCCATGGGAGAACAGACACAGATAGCAGAATGATAGGCTTTAAATTTTTTTTTTTTGATAGGCTTTAAATTTAAGGAGTCAGAATAATCACAGCTACATTAGGGAACAGTATTACTGATTTTACTTTCACATTTGCACTGGGTGCTTTACACAGCACCTCAACTAGTGCTGATGTTATTCAAATTACAGAGATGTTGAAGAAAAGATAATTGAGCTTTAGTTGGAAGTGATGGTTGAATGCCTGTGATTCCAGCAACCACTTGGATGTCAGAAGAAATACAGCTTTGAGGCCAGCCTGGGCTATGTACTGAGTTCTAGAACAGCCTAAACTATCGAATGAGCCTGCCCCCAAGACTGAGCCTCACTGAAGGTTAGAGTCATTCCTTGGTATTCTATAGCTAGCTCATTAATGATAAACAAGGAATATTTCATGTCTCAGTGAAAAGTAAAATCCAAG